ATATCTGTACATTTTCGTTAAAAACAGGTTTTTCATTGTTCTCAATCATTTTCAACATTAATTTCTTGGTCTAAAAAAAATATTCGTCTTTTGGACTTGGAAATTTTTCCTAATTAATTAAGCGGGTGATCCACTTTTTAAAAAAAATGTCAAAAAAATTTATGTTAAAAACACGTTTTTCATTATTCTAAATCATTTTAAGCATTAATTTTTTGTTGCAAAAATTACTTAAAAATTTGCAGTTTTTATCTAACTTCGCGATTATTACACTTGAGTAGTGAAATATGAAGATAATTTATAATTTTAACAATTCAGCATTTGTTTAAACAAAAAATTGTTGTTATTTATTAATTCTTAAGACAATAAAGCGTCTAGACACTTGTAGTCTTTTAAAATTTTGCAATTAACTAATCTGAGTATTTACTTATTGCAAAATTAGAAAAAACTGCTAGTTTCTAGGTTGATTGTGTAAAAAGTTAGTAAATAACAATTATTTGTTTAAACAATTGCTGAATTAATAAATTAATAAATTAACTTTATTTTATAGTATTTGTATAATTTTCTGATTTATGTCAAACAATAAATTGTTTAAACAAATATGATTATCAATTAATTTTATAAATATTAATTGAGAATATTTATCAATTTTTACATGTTTTTCATGTATCAATTTTGACACTTTATTTTCCTAAAAATTTTTCTAAGTCATAACTGGATCTCCTAGCTAGTACCAAGTTAGGACCAGCCTAGGATATATAAAAAGGGGTTGCCAAGTTAGGTCCAAGCTAGGGCCAATAATCATTTTAGGCATAGCATGGTGATTTCTACACGGGTATGAGAAAAAAATAATTCAATAAATTATTCATTTGCATTTTATTTGTATTTAAGTAATTAAATTCTCTTAGAATTTAAATAAAAATTGATTTAAAAATGAATTTCACTTAAAAATTTTAAATAATAATTGAATATTAAATAGATTATTAATTAATAAATTAATTAATGTGCAAGAGAGCGAGAGAGAGAGAGAGAGAGAGAGAGAGAGAGAGAGAGAGAGAGAGAGAGAGAGAGAGAGAGAGAGAGAGAGAGAGAGAGAGAGAGAGAGAGAGAGAGAGAGAGAGAGAGAGAGAGAGAGAGAGGAGAGAGAGAGAGAGAGAGAGGAGAGAGAGAGAGAGAGAGAGAGAGAAGAGAGAGAGAGAGAGAGAGAGAGAGAGAGAGAGAGAGAGAGAGAGAGAGAGAGAGAGAGAGAGAGAGAGAGAGAGAGAGAGAGAGAGAGAGAGAGAGACAGGAGATAATTGCAGAACGTTATTAATTTATTTAGTATTATGATTCTATATAAGCTATCGATAAGAAAAGTCGACGACTATTTTATATTATCACTGGACTTTTTTTATTTACCTTTGAGGTCACAAGATAGGACAAAATGATACGATGGCACGCGATAATGTTGTTTTTTTTGGAGGCTATAAGTGAACTTTTTTTTCTACATCTACCAAATCGAGTTTGTTTGTTTTTTACTTGTACAGATGTAGATAGAATAGGTGTGAGGTAGGTGGAGGGGTCAACAACGACTTCTTTCAGACCATCTAAAATTCTTTTTTTCCCTTTTTTTTAACACTTCTCACTTTCCTTTCCGCCTCTGCGAGATATGTATTCGTTGATAATACACTTGGGCACGCGCCTATCTGTCTTTTTTTTTTTTTAATAATATATCTTCCAACGAACGCGGATTGTCCCGTTCAAATATTTTTGTAACTGCTCCTCTTAAATTATAATTTTCCCTTATCCTAAATATTGTACTCATAAAAATTTTTTTACGTTTCTTTTACAATAAATTAAAAATTTAAATTAAAATTTAAAATTTTCTCAATTTTTACATTTCTTTTCTCAATTTAAATCAAAATTTTCCCAAAGGGAATTTCCATATAAGGAAAATATTTTTTTAATCTTATTTTTTTCTTAAATGAAATTACAATTTTTTTTTTAAACTTATTGTTGATAAAGAAACAATTCTTTCAAACTGTAAATACGATTTACAAAATTAAATTTCCAATTCAATTGAACCGTCTGTATAAAAGTGAAATACACAATAAACCTTTTTTTTTTCATTTGCGTCACAAAAAAAAATTTTTTTTTCCACAAAGCAAGAATGATGAGGTGGAAAAAGAAGGATTTTTGCTTCTTTCACGTCAAAGCTCTCTCTCTCTCTCTCATCGCCGGGAATGGAATCGTCGTGAATTGGACACGCTTTAGTTGTCGGCTCGATCACTATATAGTTATTTCTGCTTTGATTTAAAATTTTTTTTTATGCAAGCATCAATCGATTTGTTTGAATGCTTTTGGGAAAAGGAAGAAGAAATAAAAAACTTGTATATATTCTGCCCTCCGCAGCATAAGATGTAATCCGGACCCCCGCGAATGCGTCGGTTTTACGCCTCAATGACTTCGATAAAGCGCGTCTTTTAAATTTAATTCTTGTAACAAAAAAGATTCTCTTTTAAGAAGGCACGTGACGAATAACACTATTTTCATTCTTCCCTTAAATGTTTTCAATTTAGTTTTTTTTCCACAAATTTTTTATTTCCTTTTTTTTCAATTTTTTTTTCATAATTTTTCATAGATTATTCTAAGGATATTAAATTTAAACAAAAAACGTATCAAACCGTTGCTTCGCAACACTTTTTTTTTCCTTTTTTAACTTAATTTTGATATCCTCAAAAAAAAAAAAAAAAAAAAATTGTGACTACTTATACACCCGCATTAAATTAATTTCAAAAAATATAATAAAATTTTTCGTAAAACTTCAATAATATTTTCAAAAATTTTTTTTTTAATGATCTTCAAGATTTCAATTATTTAAAAAAATCAAAATTCTTCTCACAATCAGAAATTCAATTATTTTTATTTAATTTATTTTATTTCATTATTATTTATTCAATTATTCTTCTAAATAACAATATTCATCGCAAGAATTCAATTATTTTCAAAACATAAAAAAATTCTCAGAAATTCAATTATTTTCAGGAATTTTAATAAAATTCTTTGCAAAATTCAATTATTTTTCTAAATATTATAATATTCATCGTAGAAATTCAATTATTTTCAAAAATAATACAATTTTTGTTTGTGATGAATATTGTTGTTAAGAAAAATAATTGAATTTCTGAAAAGAATTTTTATATTTAAAATAAAATTATTGAAATTTTGAAGAAAACAAAAAAAAATTTTTTTTTTAATTTGTTATTACTTGAATTCTCGGGATGAATATTGTTATTTAGAAAAATAATTGAATTTTTCAAGGAATTTTATTAAAATTTTGATATTTATAAAGATAATTGAAATCTTAAAGAAAATTGAAAAAAAAATTTTAAATAATTGAATTTTTGCTGAAAATTGTATTATTTTTTCAAAGTAATTGAATTTTTTCAATAAATATACATAGTTACTTTTGAAACTAATTCAATTCTTGCGATGAATATTGTTATTTAGGAAAATAATTGAATTTTGCAAAGAATTTTATTAAAATTTCTGAAAATAATTGAAATTTTGACAAGAATTTTATTAAAATTTCTGAAAATAATTGAAATTTTGACAAGAATTTTATTAAACATTTTTTTCCATTTATAAAAATAATTGGAATCTTGACAAGAATTTTTCAAAAATTTTTGGGGAAATTTTTATTACTTTTGAAAATAATTGAAATTTTTATTGAAATTTTTGAAAATAATTGAATTTTTGGGAAAATTTTTTATTACTTTTGAAAATAATTGAAATTTTTGAAAATAATTTAATTTAGGAGGAGAGTCTTATTATTTATAAAGATATTTGAAATTTTAACGAAAATTTTTAAAAATTTTCAAACATAATTGAATTTTTTCGAAGAATTTTATTATACTTTTGAAAATAATTGATATTTTAACAAGAATATTATTAAAGATTTTTGATGTTTATAAAGATAATTGAAATCTTGACGATAATTTTTCAAAAATTTTAAAAAATAATTTAATTTTTTGGAAAAAAATTTGTTACATTTGAAAATAATTGAAATTTTGTTAAAATTTGTGAAAATAATTGAAATTAGGAGGAGAATTTTATTATTTATAAAAATAATTGAAATCTTGTCAAAAATTAAAAAAAAAAAATTTGAAAATAATTGAATTTCCAATTAATTGAGTTTTTTATATTTTTGAATTTAAGAAAAGGGGAAAAAATAAATTTTTTTTACAGTTTAGCGATTGGATATATCAGATTACAAAGCAAAATGAGTAAGAGTCGGGTCTTTAGAAGAGGATTAGATATGCGTATACATATATATAAAAACGAAGAGACCGCACAAGTGAATTTTCGGCTTGATTTTGTGGTGGGTTTTTTTTTCTTCTTTTTTTCCTAAAATAGAAAATAAACAGAAGCGATCTATAAAAGGAACAATAAAAATCCGTCTCTGCGAATTTAAATCTCTCGCTACTGAAATCGATATTTTTTTAGAATAGTGCAAATTTTCATTTGTAAACAATTTTCCGCATTGTCTCGCATTTATAAAAAAAGGAACAGTGTTTTTTTTTATCTATATGTCAATTCAGAGGATCAATGGCGAAATAAATATCATGTTACTTTTACCATATAAGATAAAAAATCCTCCTCGCAAGTAAAAAGAAACAGAAATTTTACACTTCGATGACTTCTTTTCAAAAACTTAGGATATATTTTCTGGTCTTTATAAATACGTGCCATAGAAAAATATCTATTTTACAAATTAATTAACTAAAAAAATGAACGAGTAAAAGAGTTAAAAATAATTTTTAAATACTGCGATATGACAAAAATAATGAACAATTTTTGTTGTGAAATTCTTTTTTGCGCATATTAAACATAAAATTAAAATAATTAATTTTATCTAATCATAACTAACTTTCATAACTTTTAAAATTTCCGTTACGTATTTTCCACTTTGTAATATATAAAATGAAAAAATTTTTTGATTCTTCATATTAGTATAACTATAATTTTAATACCTACACGGTACTATAATAAAAAAATAAGTTCGCAATGTTTAAATTCGTGCTCTTTTTCTTATTAGCCGTTCACCATGTTGTAAGTATAATGCATTCAGAAAAGGAAATTTATTTTAATTTTAAGTTTAATTTCGTTGTCGTTGTCCTTTTGTCTTGATTCCTTTTTAATTTTGCGTAAAATGAAAATTAATTTTTATATTCTTACTGAAATCTTAAACATATATTTACTTTAAATTGAAAGTTTACTCACTAAAAACATGTTCAACAAGATTTTTCTTCAGGTCCCTTTCTTCACGACGCATTTTACTTGATATTTTATTTCTTAATTTTAAATTTTTAAATGAAAATGAAAATTTTAGATAAATATTATAAAATATTAACTCGAAGGACAGTTTGAAGTATACAGTTAGTGTCCACTGAATGAAATGATGTTTGGGTCAAATTGACCCAGTGTGTGAATGGCGTGGTAAAAAAAATCCTATCAACGGAAGGTTAAGAAATTATAGGCAAATAAAAATTATAAAAAAATAAATAAAATTAAATAGATGACAGTGGAGATATTTATTGCGAGAATGTTACTAATTGCTTCCAACAATCCAACAATTTCGGTGAAAAATGATGGCGATTCATCTAGTAAAGGTATCACCGACTTTGGAAAAGAAGATCCAGCCTGCGCGAAAAATGCTCTCACTCGAAAATTGGATAATGGAGGTGAAGATATATTTTATTATGGTGAGACTCTTTCTTACAGATGGAAAAGATCAATGAAACTTTATGAACAAGGCAAAATAAATGTAATTATATTTCATATATTTATTTTATTATTTAAATTTATATTTTTATTTAAAAAGGAATTTTTCATCATATATAATAGACAAAAAATTATATTTTCAAAGATATAAAAGAAAGATTTTTTTTTGTTATTTTCAAGTTTAAATTTTTAAGAAAATATTTTCCGATTTGTTAGGGACGAATGATTATAAAATATCAAGATGACAAATATGATAAAGTTGACGCTACGTTTAATCTTTGTGAACCCCAAAAACAATATAAAAATGTTGATGCGGGAAATTCAAAGTCAGAGCTAGCGAGAGAAATATTTAAAACTGTTTTTATTCGCTCGTATTCAGAATTTTGGGAGTGCATTGAGCCAAAGGTAAATATATGAAAAATTATTTTAAATACAACACTTTGAAAAAAGAGTTTACTCATTTTTTAGAGACTCTGGTGTCTACGGAGTGTCTAAGGGCCCCCCAATAGGGGTCCTTAGATTACTTAATGATGACAACAATAATTTACCATTTTTTCTTTTAGAGATAATTGGTATTTTTGATAAAAAAAATAAATTTCTATTCATTACAGACTGTTAGTGTAGGCGATAAATATTTTTGGGAACGGGATATGGTGGATTTTATTCATTGCGATGCAAATGCAACAATACGTTTTGAATTATTTGCAACGACTGACGCCGACTGTGGAACTGGGGGAAGTGGCGAGTCTTTTACTAATAATGTAATGCGTGTTTTGTTTAATGTATTCTTCGATGATTGTGATGGTAAAAAATATGACGTATTCAAAGGTCTTCCTAAGGCAATAATTAATCAAGCAAAATTAGCAGCGGCTAAAGAAATTTTGGACGAAGTGGCTAATAATCCAGTTATTCTGTAAAAACATTTTTTAATAATATTTTAATTTTATATAGATATTTCCTATTTGTAAAGCAAAAAATGTAGAAAACAATAAATAAATAATTCAACAATAATAGAAAATCATCAATTATAAGTCTTCACCATTAACAGGACAAATCAACTTGACGATTACGTAGAAAATCATTTAAAATTCAAAAATGGCGAACACAATATGGCAGAACAACAAAATTAATAATTTATTGAATAATTGAATGTTGCTAAAAATTGAATTCTTATAAAGAATTTTATCAACTAAAATAATTGAATTACTTCTACAAATTTTAATAAAAATTTTTTAAAAATTCCATTTTTCGTAGAATTTGATTAAAATTGTATAAAAAAATAATTGAAATTCAGAGACAAGATTTATTAATTCACTGAGAAAACATTATACTTAAATGAAACACAAAAATAATGTTAGACGATTTTGTTTAAATGAAATTAGTTTGTAAGTTTAATCTCAATATATATGTATATAGAAAATATCTATACTGCATTGATTCAAAAGTATTATTTGTTTGAATAATTATATTTAATTCAAAAATATTTTCTGTTACGGTTTAAACAAAAATTATGTTTAAAAATTTTATGTTTGAATCAAACTTAAAAGTTGACTACAGATAATTTAAAATCAATCACAATTTATGTTTGATTTCAATATATTATAATCTCTTAAACTGAACCAGAAAATATGTTTAAATTAAACTTAAATATGTTTGACTGTATAGCAAAGATATTTTAAGTTTGATTTAAACAAAATTTGTTTGAATCAAATAATTTCTTTTCTCAGTGTTATGAAAATAATTAAATTCTTGTTCTGAATATTTTTAATTAGGAAAATAATTGTATTTTGCAAAGAATTTTGTTAAAATTTCTGAAAATAATTGAAATTTTAACAAAGAAATTAAAAAAATTTTTGTACTAAAATTGAATTTTTGGGAAGAATATTTTATTATTTTTGAAAATAATTGAAATTTTGCTAAGAATTCTTTAAAGTAATTGAATTTATAGAAGGAGAATTTCATTATTTATAAAGATAATTGAAATTTTGCAAAGAATATTATTAAAAATTTTTAAATTAATTGAATTTCGACGAAGAATTTTATTATTTATAAAGATAATTGAAATTTGAAAGAGATTTTTAAAAAAAATTTTTTGTACAAAATTGAATTTCTGCGAAGAATTTTATTATTTTTGAAAATAATTGAAATTTTGACAAGAATTTTATTAAAGAATTTTGCTGTTTATAAAGATAATTGAAATCTTGATTATAATTTTTCAAAAATTTTTGAAAATAATTGAATTTTTTGTCAAGATTTTATTACATTTGGAAATAATTGAAATTTTGCTAAGAATTTTATTTAAATTTTTGAAACAAAATTGAATTTCTGAAAAGAATTTTTATATTGATTAAAATATAATTGAAATCTTGAAGAAATTTTTTGAAAATAATTGAATTTTTGCGAAAAACTTTATTAATTTTGATAATAATTGAATTTTTATGATGAATATTGTTATTTAGAAAATTAATAATAATGAAAAATATTCGATATTTAAGAATAGTGCAAATTTCCATTTCTAATCAATTTTCCATTATCTCATTTATAAAAAAAAGGAACAGTGTTTTTTCATTCTATATGTCAATCCATAAGATCAATGTCGATCATGTTACTTTTGCCAGAAGATAAAAAAAATTTCTTCAAGTATAAAAAGAAGCAGAAATTTTACTCTTCGATGACTTCTTTTCAAAAACTATTATATATTTACTTATCTTTATAAACACGTGGCATGGAAGAAACTATTTTACAAATTAAATAAATAAGAAAATGGACGAGTGGAAGAGTTAAAAATGTTATTTAAATACTAATATGACTGAAATAATGAACAAATTTCGTTGTTTAATTCTTTTATGCGCAAATTAGACATGAAATAATGAAACAATTTAATTTTATCTAATCATAACTAATTTTATTTATTTATCAAATTGCCCTTACGTATGTTCCAATCATTAATGTATAAAAGAAAAAATAATTTGTATGTTTATGCAGTATAATAATATTATTTTAACATATATGTTACTATAACAAAAAATAAATTCGCAACTATGTTTAAATTTGTGCTTTTTTTATTATTAGCCATTCAACATGTTGTAAGTATAATGCATTCAGAAAAGGAAATTTATTCTATTTTTATGTTTAATTTAAAAAATTGATCTTCCATTGGCAGGGCATCGATTTTAATTTAAGACCCCAAAAATGTCGCTAGTTTATTAAAGACACATTCAATAATTATTTTTATATTTTAGGTGTCTTGAAGAAAGAGCAAAAATTTTATAGGTTATGTTCGTTGTCCTCTTGTCTTGATTCCTTTTTAATTTTGTAAAATGAAAAGTAATTTTTATATTCTTACTGAAATCTTAAATATATTATATTTATTTTAAATTGTAAGTGAACTCACTAAAAACATGACCAACAAGATTTTTCTTCAGGTCCCTTTCTTCACGACGCATTTTACTTGATGTACTTTATTTTTTAATTTAATAAATGAAAATGAAAATTTAAAATAAATATTATAAAATAATAATTCGAAGGACTGTTTGAAGTGTACAGTTAGTTTATTCATTTCAAATATCGACTGAAGTTTTTACTGAATAGAATGATGTTTGGGTCAAATTGACCCAGTGTGTGAATGGCGTGGTAAAAAAAGTCTGTCAACGGAAGGTTAAGAAATTATAGGCAAATAATAATTATAAAAATAAATAAAATTAAATAGATGACAGTGGAGATATTTATTGCGAGAATGTTAGTAATTGGTTCTCACAATCCAACTATACTCATGTGTCAAGGAAAGGCGATTCAAGTAGTGTAAATGTTACCAAGTTTGGAAAAGAAGATCCAGCTTGTGTGAAAAATGCTCTCACACAAAGATTGGATAATGTAAAGGAAGATAAGTTTTATTATGGTGAAACTCTTTCTTTCCGATGGAGAACAACAATGAAACTTTTTCAACAAAACAAAATAAATGTAATTATTTTTCTATTCTACTTCATATGTTCATTGATTTATAAAAATTAATTTTTCCACATACAGACATATTTATATACATAATAATTATTATATGTATATGTGAGAAAAAAATCATTCAATAATTATTATATTTATTTATTTATTTAATGATTATTCGGGCTCAAAGGCCCGATTTTTTTTAAGAAAAATTTTTTTGATTCTTTAGGGTCGAATGATTATGAAATATGAAGATGACAAATTTGAAGCAGTTGACGTATTGTTTAATATTTGTAAACCCGAAGGACGTCATGATAATGTTGATGCGAAAAATGCAAAATCAGCGTTAGCGAGAGAAATATTTAAAACTGTTTTTATTCGCTCGTATTCAAAATTTTGGGAGTGCATTGAGCCAAAGGTAAATATAGAAACATTATTTTAAATATTACACTTTAAATAAAAAGTTTTCTCATTTCTTAGAAACTCTGGTGTCTACGGAATGTTTAAGGGACCCCAATAGGGGGCTAGGGGCCGTTAGATTACTTAGTGATGACAATAATAATTTACCATTTTTTCTTTTAGAATTGGTATTTTTGATAAAAAAAAATAATTTTCTCTTCATTATAGACTGTTGATGTAGGCGATAAATATTATTGGGACCGTGGTATGGAGGATTTTATTCATTGCAATGCAAATGCAACAATACGTTTTGAATTATTTGCAACGGTTGACGCCGACTGTGGAGTTGGCGGTAGTGGCGAGTCCTTCACTACTAATGTACTTCGTGTTATATTTAATGTATTTTTCGACAATTGTGATGGTAAAAAATACGACATATTTAAAGGTTTTCCTAAGGCAGTAATTAATCAAGCAAAATTAGAATCGGCTAAAGAAATTATTGACGAAGTTGCTAATAATCCAGTTATTCTGTAAAAAGTTTTTTTTTTAATATCTTATATATAGTTGTATATAAATATTTCCTATTTATATAGCAATAAATATAATTCGATTAAAACTGTATTAAAAATAATTGAAATTTTAAGACCTTTATATTATTTATCAAAATCATTTGAATTCTTATGGTAAATATTTTTAATTAGGAAAATATTTGAATTTTTAAGAAAAATTTTATTACTATTGAAAATAATTGAAATTTTGCTAAGAATTTTATTAAAGAATTTTCCCTATTTCAAAAGATAATTTAAATTTTGACGAAAATTTAAAAATAAATTTTGCTAATAATTGAATTTTTGTGAAAAATTATAATATTTATAAAAATAATTTAATTCTTGTGGTGAATATTTTTAATTAGGAAAATAATTGAACTTTGGAAAGAATTTTTTGAAAATTCCCTGAAAATAATTGAATTTAAGAGGAGAATTTTATTATTTGTAAAAATAATTGAAAGTTTAACGAGTATTTTGCTATTTATAAAGATAATCGAAGTCTTGATGATAATTTTTAAAAAATTTTTGTAAATAATTGAATTCTTGTGGTAAATATTTTTAATTACAAAAAAAAATTGAAATTTTGCTAAGAATTTGGATTTTTGAAAATAATTGAATATGATATGACTAAAATAATGAGCAATTTTTATTGTTCAAGCTTTTTATCCGCATATTAGACATAAAATTAAACTATTTAATTTTATCTAATCATAACTATTTTTCTTTATTTATAAAATTTCCATTACGTTTCTTCCAATCACTATAATATATATAAAAGTTAAAATACTTGATATTTTCATGTAGAATAGTACTATAATTTTAAAATATAATAATTTTTTTAATAATAATCTTAGCTGTATATATCTTTAATGCCCAAATAGATCGCGAATCAAAATTAAAACTTGTTCCATAGTAATTATTTTAAATAGTCGAAGATAATATGTGAAAAAACCGGAAATATTGCAATTTTATTTTTTTTATAACTATTTTAACTATATTTATTTAACTATAGGTTTTAATCTATATAATTTTTTAGTTTTAAATATAAACGCACTGTCCGTAAAATATAAGCAATTTTTTTTATGGATAAAAAGTTATTATTACATTTTATCTGGTAAAAAAATCGAGTTTAACAACTTTTGCAATTATTTTTTGTAGACTCACTTGTGTTGATATAAATACAATTGCCAGTGGTCAACGATTTTATTCGTCTTCATTAATATTATACACGTGCATATAAAAATGACTAAAATTTACCATACGGTAAATAATTAAATATAATTAAAAGATTTTTACAAATATTTTTAAACACTAAAAATTGTTTTTTGCAACATTCCTCAGCTCTTTATATAATTTATTTATTTCGTAGACCATGAAAAAATTAAGAAATATCGAATAAAAAAGAAATGCGGATTTAACGGTGATTCTCACAGAGGACAAAGTATAGTTCCCATCGTTTCTGTAATTTTTTTAAAGAAGGAAGTATGCAAATGTGAATTTTCCATCGAATTAATGATGAAGAGCATAGTTAATAAAAAAAGTCTTCATTATACATGTTCTGTTTACCCCCTCTTCGAACCGTTATACCTGTTGAATTTACTCTCTTGAAATAAAAGGGATTTAAAAAAAGAAAAAAAATTGCAGGTAGTTTGAGGAACGTTACAGTATAGGGAGGGAGAGAATTCAGGTCGTCGAGCATTGTTTTCTTTTATATTGAAGGTTTTACCGAGAGGCCCCTTGAAGAATAGCGACAAACTTTGATTCTTATTGCAATCTTTTAAAAGAAGAGAGAAAGAGAGGTCAAGGGGAAAAATTGGAACGCAATTTACTGAGTGCGTAACGCATTGCTCTTGTTTGATCTTTGATATAATACACGAAAGTGTCTATATAGTGGATAAAAGTTAAAAAGAAATTTACTTAAAAAAAAAGAGACAGTCACCCGAAATGTAGGTTATGTTTCATTCTACACGGTCCACGACCATTGATCGAAAATTTTCTAGATTCTTTTCATTTTTTCGTGTTTTCAAAAAAAGGAAAAAATAATTTTTAACCGAAAAAGAATGTTTGTTACTTTTAAAGAAAGTAAAGACTTTTTTTTTAATAAAACTTAAAAATTGCAAAAAAAATGTATGGAAATGTTGTCGAGTCACTTGTGAGACACCCAGTGTATCTAGATCGAGTTTTTCTTTTCCGAATAAACGCGTATATAAAAGAAGACGAAGGGAGCAGGTAGAAAAGTCGTTGTGTGATATGAAAGAAATCCTGCTCCAAATATCCGCAGGTTTTGAAGACCGGACTAAGTCGAGAACCCCGAAGTTTAATAGGCATCAGGACCGTTAATCGAGTTTTCGAGGTTATGACCTTTTCCACATACGTACCCTCATTTTTTAGCGGACGAAAATTGGCGAAAGAAAAAAAAATTTAAAACTAGATTAAAAACTAGAATATAAGACCTGCTCTTGTGCACTTTTCTATAAGTTGTCGTTATTTTCCACTATACAGAGAAAAATAAATAGCATTGGTACTTTTTTCAAAATTTGAAAGTCAGTGTTTTTATGTGAACAATTTTACGATTTGTCTTTACATAAAAACCTTTTTTTTGAAGAAGAATCTACCAGCAGCATGTCTGAAACAGAAAAGAGGAATTAGATTTTTTTATACTTACCCAAAACATTACTGTTCTAATCCGTTGTTATCAAACTCCCACAAGGTGCAATCTTAGAATCTTAATTTTTTGTTTTCTTCTTGTGATAATTTTACGATTTATCTTTATTAAACTCAACCTTTTTTTGAAGAAGAATCTACAACAGCATATATCTGAAACAGAAAAAAGGAATTAAATGTTTTTACACTTACCCAAAACATTATATTGATTCGATCCGTTGTCATCAAATGCCTACTAGATGCAAACTTAGAATCTTCATTTTCTGTTTTCTTGTCATAATTTTACGATTTATTTTTATTACACTCCTTTGTTTGAAGACGAATCCGCAGCAGCATCTGAAACAGAGAAAATGAATAAATAAAAAAAAATAAAAGTAGTTAGAATAATATAAAAATAAAAAGAGCCATAAATAGTGAACAATGTATTCAGTAGTAGAGACGTCGATTAAACCATGTAATTCGAAGTTAATCCGCAGAAATCTGAAAAAAGAAAAAAAAATAGAAAGATTTTTATACTTACCAAGTTTGTAGTGGGATTCTCGTTGGCATGCAAAGTCGGCTTCTCGATGACAAATGCTAAACAGGCGCCACTCATGGCATCTTAATTTGCAGTTAGGACATCCTAAGTTCCTTCCTTGGACACGTACACATCGTTCGCCTTGTCTTTATGTCTATCTAAGATTCTAACAGACAGTTTTCTGTCTATGTGTTAGTATTTGTGTGTGTGGGTTCGTGACGTGAAAGGAGCCCGTGCCACTCTTCAACATTTCAGGAAATTAGTAAATTCAACACGCCGCCAGGCGCACGAGGACGAAATCATTATAGCACGTTCCACGAAGGATTAGATAGATTGTCCGTTCTCCATAATCAGACGTCTGTCATGCAAAATACATTTTGACAAACTCATCGATCATTCCGTATATATATATATTTTTCCTTTTTGTTCTAAAACCTTAAATTTAGTGTAACCTCAAATTTTACTTCATTATACATTTTTAAACGTGGTTACGTTTCAAAATGTATAATGAATTTTTAAACGTAACCATGTTTAATGAATGAAGTGAAATTAGAGGTTATAGTAAATTTACGAAAAAATATCAAGACATGGTAAGTTGACTAAGTTTTTAAAAGTGCTTGATGAGGGATTAACAAATGCTTTTAAACTAATATCTTTTTTTTGTTTCAGAGTTGCTGCATTTTCGGTAAGTGTTAAAAAAGTTACAACATAGAAACATTTAATTTTCTTTTTCTGTTTCAGATGCTGCTGTTGGTTCGTCTTCAAAAGAAGTTGAGTTTAATAAAGATAAATCGTAAAATTATGACAAGAAGAAAACAAAAAATTATGATTCTAAGTTTGCACCTAGTGGGGGTTCGATAACAACGGATCAGAGCAGTATTGTCTTGGGTAAGTATAAAAAAAATCTAATTCCTTTTTTCTGTTTCAGATATGCTGCTGTAGATTCGTCTTCAAAAAAGTGGTTTTTTAATAAAGATAAATCGTAAAATTATCACATAAGAAGAAAGTTTGCATCTACTATGGACATTAGATAACAACGGATCAGAACAGTAATGTTTTGGGTAAGTGTAAGAAAAATTAATTCCTTTTTTCTGTTTCAGATATGCTGCTGTAGATTCGTCTTTAAAAAAGTGGTTTTTTAATAAAGATAAATCGTAAAATTATCACAAGAAGAAAGTTTGCATCTACTATGGACATTAGATAACAACGGATCAGAACAGTAATGTTTTGGGTAAGTGTAAGAAAAATTAATTCCTTTTTTCTGTTTCAGATATGCTGCTGTAGATTTGTCTTCAAAAAAGTGGTTTTTTAATAAAGATAAATCGTAAAATTATCACAAGAAGAAAACAAAGAATTAAGATTCTAAGTTAGCATTTTTAATAACATTTTAAAATAACTTAAAAATAAGTTTGATTTAGGTTAAATTTGGGCACACGAAAATTGAATACATTTACAATAAGAATGTTATGAACACGCGGATGTAAATTGAGAAGAGAGAATATATAGTGAGAGGCAGGCGCGGTTTGGAGAAATGTCCGAAAAAAAGTCACGATACGTGTGTCAAAGTGGTCGATGTGGTATGAGGAATACAATGTTAAAGGGTATGGCATGTCCCTTGGTGTGTACACGTATCGCATGTTAGCCTGCGCTGATGAACATTATAGTGTACCGAAATGTGGTATGTAAGTGCCTAACGTAAGGAACTTTAGAACGGGAACGCGAACTCGGGGGCATTTGTGCCAAGTCGCCCGGATAATTTGAAAGCGATCCGATCTCACAAAGCCAGCTGCCTGCCTTACGCGCGTAAAATTAAAATATTCAAGGAGAAGAACTGGTCCTCTCATGTCGCGTCCTTCCTTCTCAATATGTTCATTGTACTTATTAAATATTATCAATTATCCTACAGAAAGTAATTTTCAGTCTTGTAATTTGTTAATACCGTTTCCCTAAGGATATCAGTTTGAGACAAAAAGGAATCAAAACGTTGTCAACGTTTTGATTCCTTTTTGTCTCAAATTGATATCCTTAGGAAAATGGTCAGTAAATAAAAGTAAAAAATCACCGGGATTTTTGTTTGAGGGACAAAAATCAATTTCTTCAACAAATATTTTTCGTCTCCTTTGTCAAACAATTTATAACATTGTAAAACAAGTGCGGGAAATTTGAGTAGACGAGAAGTTTTATTTTTCCCGTCCGGAAATTATTTTTTTCGTTTTGGGACATCCGCGCGGTCACTTGAAATATTTAGAAAGAGCTTGTGCTTAATCGATGCGACAATATTTGGTACCTAAAGTCGTTCGATGTGCAATCGATTTGTTTAGGATCCCTACATATATGTATGTTTATAGGGCGGCTTCTCTGTTCCTGTATTTATGTATATACAAATACTTTACTTTTCTACTGTCCCCAAGATTTTTTTTCTATGTACATACCTATATAGGCTTGTACCAGGTAGCAATCCTTGCTTCCGGACTGTCGTTTTCCCTTTGGGAAAAATGAAAAAATTATTTACATTTCGGGATTAGGAGACACCGCGTCTTTTCTTCTTTCTCTTCAGCCCTCTCTTTGCCTATCAATAAATTTTTCATATATTTTATAGATATTTTGGATTAACACTTTCTATTCTTGCCCATTTATCACGATTTTTCTTTTTCTCTCGCGAACTAAGTGGATTATTTTTTTATCCCCTTTTTAGCCTCCGGAGGTATAAATCTTGTAATTTCTGAAATGGAGAATGAATTTGAACAATTTTTAAGGATTTATCAGTAGCATTTTTTAAGGATCCATCCAAAAATATTTATAAAAATTGATACTTTATTAGTAAAAGAAACTTCGAAAAAACCAATTTTGTTTGCAACGAAACAATTTTTTTAATTCCTCAATTATAAAAATCGTAAGCTCAATATTAAAAATCAAATCTAAAAAGTTTTTTAAAAAATCGAGTGATTAATTAGAAAACTACACTTCTCGTATTCATTTGACTCGAAATAACAATGAGAAGAAGAAGAAGAAAAAAAACTCTATAGAGATTTTCTTAAGTGAAATAATCGTAAAATATATTGTCCTTTCTTTTCTTTTCGCGGTCCTCGACATTCTAAAAAAACTTGAGTGACACTAGGGCGTGGCCTGAATTGAGCGGTCTTTCTTGAAGAATCCTCCAAAAAAAAGTCCCTCGAATTGTTCGTCGACTCATAAAAAAAGAAACAGAGAGAGAGAGAGAGAGAAAAGCAAAAGGGGGATGATCTTGAAAAATAAAAATCGCTTCATAAATTACACATTTTAACGGGGATCTTTATTTTGAAAAAATCAACTCATCATTATGCAGTAGCAATTTCACGAATGAATTTGTATGACAATTCTAAATAATTCCGAATATTAAATATTAAATTTCTCTTTTTCCGAAGGATTCACGAAATTTTATTGAAAACACTTCGAGGTACTCTCAATTTTTAAAAATTTATATTCATAAAAATTATAGAAATTCTGAATTTCGAACCCATATAGTTAACCCTTTTTTCAGTTTTAATTTTCGAAAGTTATAATATAAAAATTGTAGTACCTATAATTATTATAAAAGTTGATATTTTATGTACAATTAAAAATTGTAAAAATTACAATAATTAAAAATATTCATAAAATCATAATTAATTAAAATTATTTATTTACTAAAACCAATAAGAAAAAAAAATTTAGGGTTGTATTTATCGTGTGTTCATGCTGTTAAACGTTTTGCCAAATTCCCCTTTTCGTAATTATATCAAGATGGTTTTTATAAGGTGAAAAATTTCATGTACCATCCTCATAATTCTCGTTATCTTCTTGGCATCACTTGTTATTTTGTTTTCTTTTATTTTCTTTCCTTCATATATGCGTGTATTACCAATTTCCTTCGCTTTTTAACTCTCGCAAAAATTATATTTAAAAAAAAAAAAAATGAAAAAAATTACAATTTTTTCAAACAGTATTTATACAGACGCGCGTTATTTTGATTCTAAGAAGGGAATATCGAAGCACGCGCGTTTTTCGATAATTAAGGCCGGGGAACAAAAGTGCCTTCTTTTCAGTACTTGTTTGGCACGTTACGCGCGGTTTTTACCAATGGGATTTACAACCTCTCTTACAAACACGCGGCAGCTGGGTTTTATGCGCGCACCACGGCCAATGAGGGTTTCTAAAGTAATAATTTCGCACCTCTGAGAAAATACCAACATTTTTTTTTATTTCATTAAAAATTCCCCACGTATGAGAAAAAATATTTATTTTTTCCTTCTATTCCGATTGCGAGTTTATTTAACAGAGGGGGGGGGGGGATTAAATGAACAATTTTGATATTTATATATAGAAAGAAGTGTTTTTTAGTGTAAGTCAATTTTTAGAAGATAAATGACAAAATAGTAATTCTGTTTTGAACCTTTTTTTTACAGTGTAAATAATCAATAATTTCAACTTTATTATGAAAATTTTGCCGAGTGATAGTTTAAATCATTACTAAATAATAAATAACAAAAATATATTTAAACTCAACAGTTTAAACCATTTTTCCAATATTTTTTAAATTGAAAAATCATTTTTCCTTCACACTTTCGTAAATATGGAAAAGAAGAAGAAGAAGAAGAAGAAGAAGAAGAAGAAAAATTGAAATTCAAAAGCAGATCGTTCGTGAAATGTAAATATGACTGAGAAGTAGTATAAAATTTCGGAAACACGTGCGCAAACAGTTATTTACTAAGGCTATAAAGGATGGAAATGTCCATCCAGCTCCTCAATTGGCAACCGTGTGTGTTCACTTCCTGGAAATATTTGTTGGAAGGGAACGTGAATTCGAGAGGGTTGCTGTTTACTATTCAAGTATCCATATATATATAATGTCGAACCCTTCAATGGGTTTTCAATTTTTTTTTTTGCTTCAATGTGGGAGTATCTCAGGTTGCAACCCTTTAACGCTCATCCTTTATATACCTGCGTATGTGAAATTTCTATTCTTTTCCATTCTTTTTCATATAATATAGATTTTCTCCTCTCATGTAGCATATATGTATCATCAAGAACTATCCGATTGGCTGTCAAGAAATTTTTTTTTTTTCCTCTAAAAAAGAAAAAAATTGACGAGCGTAGCTTTATCGAATCATTCACCAAGGATTTTCTTTCATAGATTATATTCTTTTCTTTCCCCGCGCATGAAAATCGTCATTCATTGAAAAAAATGAATATTTTATGCCGCGTATGGGAGGATATTTTTTCGATTCAAAATTTTCTTTTCGGATACTTTTTTTAAAATTTTATTACGTATTTTACATATCTTAAGAAATTGTTTACATATTTTCTTTAGGTATGTAAAATTAAAAGGGAAAAGATAAAGAAAAAAAGAGAAAAGTTAAAGATTATTTAACTGAATGGGAAAAAAATGTACTAAGGGAAGAATTTATAAAATTTATAAATTATAACTATTAAAGAAATAAAGAATGAAGGAAATAATAATATAGAACTTTTATAAATTAAAATCAGAATAAAAGTTTTGTAGTTTGTAAATTCGTATGGAAATTATAAAAAAATAAAAATTCGAAATTAAAATCAGAATACATAAAAATTTTATAGTTTATAAATTCGTATGAAAATTAGTTTTATTAAATTTTTTGTTGTCGGAAATTTTCTGAGAGCAGAAGTATAGATAAGGAAGAGTTTCGAAAATTTCGGGGTATCTCTGAAGCGGATTATTTGAGATGTGAGTGAATGACATGTACAAGATTGTCGATGGCCACTCGCTGAGTTATTGGAAGAGGCGCAGATGTGCCTCTCAAACAGCTGTACATAATTATATTACAGGTCTCGTGTGCTATGAGTGTTCTAATGATAATAGTACTTTGTTTTGAAAAGTTCATCGTAACAAAAGGGGGAAAAATAGAGAAGAGTGAATACTAACAATTACGCACTAAATGATTTTTATAGTAAACATCCTTCAAATTCGTATCACAATTAATCAATTTTGACCTAGTATCCTAATATCTACCCTAATTTTGACCTAATATCCAAATATCGACCTAATATCCTAATATCTATCCTAATTTCGACCTAATATCGAAAAAGAGCAAAAATCTTAATTTTTACATACCTGAA